CTTGCTTTTATAGGCAGCTGATCCAAGATAGATTTACGTTGAGAATAGTGTCACAAAAGGTCTGAGCCTTTTTGTCTTCACATCAAGTGACCTTTCCTAGAATAAGAAAGCACAGAGAAATCCTTTTTGTCTGTGTTCTTGTGTCTAGCATAAATAAGGAAAGAGTCGTTTGCATTATTCCAACGGACATAATCTTTGAATTCTTCTTCTTCAAATTTCAGCAAGATTCATCAGAGTCTAATTTGATCAGAGCCTTCTGATGTTGATCAGAGTTTTGCTGAATCAGAGTCTTCTGCAGCAGGTGTGCTTTTAGCGTGTGTAAGTTCAGAGCATATTTGAGTCAGATCCTCAGTACTTGCAACTTTAGTACTTTCAGAATCTTCTGTAGTAACTATGCTTTGAAAACTCTTCATACAGAACTCTTCTTTGGTTCAGATGCTTCTGACTTGCTTCAGATTCTTCTGGAGCTTCTGCTTCAGATCCTTCTGGAGACAGCGCTCAGGATCTTCTGTTGGCAGCATTCAGAATCTTCTAATGGATGCATCTGGCGCTTCAGAGTCTAGCGTATTTCTTATGTTCAGTTCTGATTTGCTTCTGGAGTGATAATTATTTTGATATCTGCAGCAAACACTCTCAAGCAAATTTTAGAGTATATAATTCTTAATTACAAAATTTCATAATAGTTATCATCAAAATATAGAGATATTATTAAGAACCAATTTGTGTTCTAACAACTAGTTGTTTGTACAACATTGCATCAACACCATTGCTGCCTTCCTTTGACAGAACAGTACCAGGAACAATTGGATTCTTGACAGCATTACAACTCCACATATGGAACCTTTGCAAGACTTCCTTAGCATACTTCTTTTGGCACAAATGAATTCCATCTTTACGCTGATAGATTTCAACTCCAAGAAAAAACTTCATTTTGCCCAAGTCTGTCATCTCGAACTCCTTCTGCATTGACAACTTGAACTCTATGCACATATGCTCATCATTTCCAGTATACATTAAATCGTCAATGTAAAGACTTACCGCAAATAGCTTGTTTCCATTTTTCTTCAAGAACAAGGTGTGATCATAGTTGCTTTTCTGAAACCCTTCCTTCTTAAAGTGACTCTCGTTTCTGCTGAACCAAGCTCTTGGGGCTTGCTTTAAGCCATAGAGCGCCTTCTTTAGCTGATACACCTTATCTTCCTCTCCCTTTTTGATAAACCCTTCCGGTTGATTGATGTTACCTCCTCCTTTAATTCTCCGTACAAAAAATCACTTTTAACGTCAAGTTGGTAGACACACCAACCACACTGAGCTGCTACTGCGAGGAGAATTCTGATGGTATTCCAACGAGCCATCAGTGCATACACTTCATTGTAGTCTACTCCTGCTGTTTGCGAATACCCTTTGGCAACTAGTCTAGCTTTGCATTTGTCCACCTTACCTTCTTCATTCAATTTTGTTTTGTATACCCATTTAACACCAATTTTTTTTCTTGATGTGGCAGTGACACAAGCTCCCAAGTCTGGATTTCAAGCTTCATGGCCTCTTGCCATTTTTCTTCCTTCGCAGCTTCATCAAAACTTACTGGATCATCATGAGAGATATACAAGGCTAAGTTTTGTTCTGGTACCTCTTCTTCAGATAAGCCTTCGCCACTTTCATAATTACTCATCCAACTAGGCTTCCTTCTCTCTCTTCTTGTTCGTTCTTCAGGTGCTGACTCTTCAATTTCTGGAAACTCCGTTGCACTGTCGTCTTTAATTTCTTCAACATCCTCATCAATATCTTCTGCTTCAGGTTCTTCTGTCACAGCTTCGTCTTCTCCCCATGCAAGAACGTTCTGCTTTACGTCTGTTGCGTTCAAGTTCCAATCCCATTTACCGCCTTCTTCGAATATGACATCCCTACTTATAATTATCCTTTTTGTTACCGGATCATACAGCCGGTAAGCTTTAGACTCCTCACTGACTCCAAGCAAGATGCATTTGTGACTTCGATCGTCAAGTTTGACTCTTTTCTGTTCAGGGACATGTACATGTGCAATGGAGCCAAATACTCTGAAGTAGTCCACCTTTGGTTTTATTCCTGTCCACCTTTCTTCAGGTACCATATCTTTTACCGCCTTTGTAAGACTTCGATTCAAGACGTGAGCTGTCCATCTCGCTGCATCTGGCCATAGGGATCTCGACATCTCCTTCTCAGATAACAAACAGCGCACCGTGTTCATGATGGTTCAATTCCTTCTTTCTTCCACCCCGTTTTGCTGTGGAGTGTATGCCGCTGTCAATTGTCGCCTTATGCCATGATCCTTGCAAAACTGGTTGAATTTATTTGACGTAAATTCTCCTCCCCTGTTAGTTCTTAGTCCGCATATGGAAGTCCTTGCTTCCTTTTCAACAAAACTTTTGAAGGTTTTAAATGCCTTAAAGGATTCTGCTTTCTATGCAAGAAAATAGATCCAAGTTTTTCGAGAGAAATCGTCTACAAACACTAACAAATACCTCTTACCACTGTGAGAGGTTGGAGTGATTGGTCCACACAGATCTCCATGAATTAACTCCAATTTCTCTGATGCCCTCCAGCCACTTTTCTTTGGAAATTTCCCCCGCTGCTGCTTTCCCACATTGCATACCTTGCAAATCTTGGATGCTTCTTTCAACTTTGGTAACCCTTTTACCATTTGTTTTTGCTGCATTATTTGGATATACTTGTTATTTAAATGCTCATATCTCTTGTGCCAGAGATTCTCCAAGTCTTCTTCCTCCATCTTCAAACAACTACCGGGAAGTGGTTTCATCTTTGTATAGACCACGCACATACGATTCATAGCCATTGGAGTCTCTACTATCAAACCTCTTTGATGATGATAGATTCTTCAAGTACCCTCTTTAATTATGATCACTAAACGTTTCTCCTGTAGCTGTCCTATGCTTAATAGGTTGTTGCTGAGATTTGGAACATAATAGACGTCAGACATCGTTTGTGTGATTCCTTGTACTTCAAACCTGACGCTGCCTTTTCCTTGAACCGCCATCCTTGAGCTGTTACCCAATCTGACAGAATGCTTGAAGCTTTCGTTGAACTCAACAAACCAAGTTTTTTCTCCTGTCATATGGTTTAAACACCCAGAGTCGAGAAACCAAATACCTTTTCCTTCAGCTTTACTGACTTCTGTGTGTGCCATTAAGAGGAGTTCTTCTTCCTCGTCGAACTCGGTATAATTGACTCCTTTTTCCAGACTTGAGCATTCAAATTGATAACGTCATTGCTTTCCACATCGAAAGCAATTAATGGCTGACATGTTGACGAAAGATCTACCTCTTCCTCGTCCTCTAAAGTTGTCGCCTCTGAAGTTACCGCTTCTGAGGTTGCCATTTCCTCTCTGATATATGCCTCTACCTCTTCCTTGTACATTCCTTTGCCCGTTCTCCACCTGTAGAACTTGTTCTTCACTTCTTTTCTCAATCACCTTTTGTTCATGTACATGCAAGGATGCTTGCAATTCATCTACTGTCATATCATCAATGTCCTTGGACTCTTCGATGGAGCATACCACAAAGTTGAAGTTGTCCGTAAGACTTCGAAGTATTTTTTCAACAATTTTGACATCGTTCATGTTTTCTCCACAGTTCCTCATTTCATTGGCAGTAGACATGACTCTTGCGAAGTACTCAGACACACCTTCTCCCAATTTCATTTCTAGGGTTTCAAATGTTCTGCGAAGCCGTTGTAGCTGTGCGCGCTTCACTCTAGCACCTCCCTGATACTTGACTTTCATTGAATCCCACAACTGTTTGGTTGTTTCCTTCTGGGTGATGGTTTTCAAGATGCTCTTGTCTATGTACTGAAAAAGATAGTTCTTTGCTTTGAGATCTTTAAGTTTTGCTTCGTCGAGTGCCTTCGCGCTTATGCCTTCGGTCCCCTTCAACTCTTCGAGCCCTGGTTCAATGACGCTCCAGTACTCCTTGGAGCGGAGGAGATTTTCCATAAGTAAGCTTCCGTTATCGTAGTCACCATCGAACTTCGGAACGCATGGTATTGAGAAACTTTCTGCTACCATTTTTCCTTTCTTTTGTGTTTTTCCTCTCAAACACTATTGCATACTTTCCCTACTTCCTCTCGGGTTTTTCCTCTCAAACACTCAATTTGTATATTACTATTATCAGACCCTTTCGAGCTCTGATGCCAGATAAAGGAAATAGAACAGAAACAAAAGTTAGAATATTTAATACTTTATTCAAAAAGATTGCTATATCTTTTATAAAGCCTTACGATTTAACTGTAACTGAAATAGAGAAAAATAAGAAAAACATAATATAACAAACTTGAATAAATCAACTCTTAGAAACTAACTTATTAAGACCTATTCTCTAGCTTTAACGGTAAACCCAACAAGATAATCTTGTTGTTTCTGTGATTTGTGTGATGAGTTTCCATTTTCGACCTTGTTTACATTAAAGATGATGATTTGTTTCTAGCTTAAAATGATCTCATGAATTGGTCTTGACGTCACATGTTTTCATGATTTTGTTTCCATTTTGACAAAACTTGCCTAACCATATTTCTTTCCATGAATTTCTCTATCAGTCAATATTGATCATAACTATTATGTGTGAACTATATATTTTTTTTAGGAAAAGAATGAATTGATTTGTGATTCTGAATTTAATTTCACATTTTATGGCTCCTTACGATTTCGCATTATTATGTTTGATGGTGTCTTGGATATCACTACTTGCTGAAACCATGATTAAACCTCATGTTCTTTCTTTTTACAATATCAGAAACTCATTTTATCGTTAATTCCCAGCAGCATTTCTTCCAATTTTGCAAATATAGTAGCTTCGGTTTGAATGCATTCAGTGCCGCGACGAGAAGCACAATCAAAATCCTCTTGAGCGGAGCTGAACCTTCCTTGAAATAGTCGCGAACCGGGGAGGCAGATATTCAGGAACAAGAACTGGACCATCTCCTAAGAGCAACGGCTGTGAAAAGGTTGTATGATTCACAACTTAGGATGCAAAGGTTCTTATTCCATCATTGCTATTCCCAAAAAAAGAGAGAGGTAATGTAGGCTTTTTGCCAATATTGTTACTGAGCACTTAATTGCACATTGCGGGAATCCTCACAATCTGGTCTAATGCTTACACTAGCTGAGACATTAATTATTATTCATGAAATTGATCCTAAAAGAGATGGAATTCCCTGATGCGTGCAATGCTTGGTTCTCTATGATCTGTTTTGATTTTTATTCTGACATTTTTGTGATCATATAAATGTAGAGGCTTCCTCGGTGTTGGAACTTATGCCCATTCGATTTATTCTGATATTGATCCGTCGGTCATGTGGGAGTTTCCTTTGATTTCCAGTGAATTTCTCACTTTTTCGACATGTTGCTCTCTTCCTTTCAACAGGTTGTGTGATTTTTCTTGCACTGTAAATTCTGCACCATCACCTTTTTCCACTCTGAAAATTCAGAGCTATGTAACTAAACTGATGTTATGCTATCAATTTTAACATTTGATGAAATTTCATATTGCTAACTTCAATTTCTATGTCCATGGCAGAGAAAGAGGAGACGAACAGATATCATACTCAGCAAAATGAGCTTTGGAATGTCGCACCCAGTACACTTTTGAGTATAACTCTGTATTTAGTCGCGGCATCAAGAAGTAGAATTTCACATGCCCTTTTTAAGGCTTTAGATTCAAGTTCCTTGTAATTTTGGATATATTGAGGGAATTATAGGAATTACTGATGATGATTTGTATTTCAATAGTGAGAATGCTATCATAGTAAACCAATGACATCTCTTTCTATTATATTCCATAGATTAAGTTTCAAAACCCATCTTTAGCAGGATGGAAACCGTTTCTATCTCCTGGAATTATTCCTATTAAAAATCTTGAGAATCTTAGATATTAGCTTGGCAGCGGTCCGTCCACTACAACAAAAATGACTTTAGGCAACGGAGGAATAGACAACGACTGTAAAACCGTAGCTTATTCCTTTTTTGCAACGCTTTTGAAGTGTGGTATTTTTTATTTCTATTTTTTAAAATTTAATGTTAATTATTTTTTATTTCTATTTTTTAAAATTTAATGTTAATTATTCGTATATAATTAAATGTACAGAGTGGGGATCGAACTCCTGTCCTTGAAGTGATCTAACTCAAACTTAAAAATATGATTGAAAAATGGCAAAATCAAGACTTGAAACCAAGTCCTTTGCTATGTAGAAAGACCTCACTACCACTAAACCAATAACACGATATGATTTTAATTTTAATTCGAAAGTTATTAATAAATTAATATGTTCTAAAACTTGAAATTGGGGGTTGTTTAAACCCTAATTTTTCTCCCTTCCCTCATTCACGCAAACTTTTGGCCGATCTCAGTCTTAAGAAGACGCCTCAACTTGTGGAATTGGTTGACGATAGCCAAGTAATGAGTTGTTCAACTTATTTCTTTTATATTAAATCTATTCCAATTAAATCAAATTTTGAATAACTAATTAATCTTAATTTTTATTGGTCTCAGGACATTGAAGAGCTTCTTAATTTGTCTCCTGAAAAAGTTCTATTAAATTGGATGAATTTTCATTTCCAGAGAGGAGGTTACGAGAAAACCGTAAAGAATTTTTCTTCTGATTTGAAGGTTTGTTTATATATGAACACTTTTTTAATAACATTTTTATTGTTAGGAGTGTTTTGTACTCTTAACCAGTGGCGGAGCCAGCGCCCGGCCAGGTAGGGCAGCTGCCCCGGCTCAACCGCCGACAATATTTTCCGGTTTAACCAAGAACATGTACAAAGGAGTAATCAAAACCTACAATGTTAGGGCTTTGATTCCTCAGGTTCAAAACTACAAGACTGCAACTTGAATCAAGGAAAATGGAAGAAGAACGAAGAAATCCTACTTACGAGGATGAGAAGTTCTCCGGTCTTGTAGGGGTTGATGAGGATGAATGAAGGACAAGCTCCACTCATGTAAGTATGAATCTATTGCTCCTTCTTCTCTCTAATTCTTTCTTCTTCTTCTCCAATCTCTTTAGCCTGTAGGTTTTAAATTGTTGATTATTCTATGATTGGTGTTGTGTTGTTGCTGTGGCTTGCAGTGGTGTTGTGTAATTGTTCTTGCTGCTTCCTTTGCGTGATGCATGTTTTGTTGCGTGAGTTGCATTGTTGTGCGAACTGCTGCAAGTTCTTGAATAAGAAGTTAATCGTGGTAATTCTTTTACAGCAGAGAGGGTGTGAGAGTGAAATCCAAGCGTTGAAGTGATGAAAATGAACGAATTGAGTTGGTGGTTCTGAATTGTGCAGAATTAGAATTCAAGGGAAGTGTGGGAATGAACGCAGAGAGAGGATTTGGTGATGACTGAAAATATGCAGAGGATTTGGTGATGACTGAAAATATTCTGATGTCACTGCACGATCTATCTGCTAATTTTTTGCTCAATTTTGTTTTTGCTGTTTTATGGTTACACTATTGGTTTATTTGTATGCAGTTGTTGTGATTTGTTGAAGCTGATTTGATTGAGAATTTGGATATAATAAATCATCGTATTGATGTGTTTGAATTTTGCTGAATGAAAACAGGTAGTTGGACCTGTCGTGGTTGCAGATGGCATGAATGAGGATGCTATGTATGAATTGGTGCGTGTCGGTCGTGATAATCTCATTGGTGAAATTATTCGTTTGGAAGGGGATTCTGCCACTATCCATGCTTTGGAATGTTGTCATATTTGGGTGAGTTAGATTGGTAATTGTATAATTTAGTCACTTTTGTTTTATTTTATTTCACTTTGTTTAAGTATGAATGGATAAGCAATTTCTGCTTTCTTGTCTGCTTTGGATTGCAGTCCTGATGATACTCCATGGGATGGAGGTGAGTCAGTTCTTTTCTACAGCTCTTCTGTGTAAACAATGGTGATACAGGTGTCAATTTGGTTATTTAGCCATCTTGTGTATTTCGAAGTATTTTTAATCATTATATTGTATTAATTGTTTTATGTTCTGTTATATTAATCGAACTTGGTTTTTTCGATGGCATTAGAGTTTTGTTGCAAAGATAGTTGTAGTTCTTCCATTCTCTAAAATAATTTGGGTTGCTTGATATATCTAGGCCATCTTAAAATTGAGTTTCTTTCTTATAGGGCTTTGGCTTTGTGGTTTGATGCTTTTGTTCTTTGTTTTTCATTATTAGTTTTAACTCTTGTCAGTTATGTTGTCTCTACCTAATGTGCCTCTTAAAGACTGCACTAACTCTCTATTGAGATATATATGTTAAGCTAAATTATGTTTCCCCATCAAAGTTCAAACCATGTAAAAGGGTGCTTTTGCTCAAGTAGTTGAATCATGTATATATTTTTATGTGATGTTTATGTTATGTGTTTTGATATTATCATGAAATTAGATGTGTTTACATAACGACATGTTTACTTTTGAGTTATTCAGGCACATTTAAGTTGACTCTTCAGTTTTTCGAGGATTATCCAAACAAGTCACCCACTGTACGATTTGTCTCAAGAATGTTTCATCCAAACAGTAAGTATTAGGTTGAAAGTATAAACCTTCTTATTCATTAGTTAGGTATCTGCCAACTAATGTAATTGCTACTCGGATAGTTTATGCTGTAACGCCCATTTTATTTCGATTAAATCCAATTATGACTTTGCCATGTCTCGTTGCATCGTAGTCGTATTTGAGTATGAGTTCGTCTCGAAGAAAGGAATTGAATCGGTCGAGTTGTCGGAAAAATTCTAGTTTTGTCAGAAAACATTGAAAATTCATATCTCTTGATCCGTAAGTCGGATTTGACCCCCGTTCGAAGCGTTGGAAAGCTAAAGAGATGTTCTATCTAGAAAAAAATTGAAAAAAATTTAATTTTGCTGCTATGACGACCGTCATAGGAGTGTGACGACCGTCACACGAGCAAAAACTGCAGTTATGCAGAATTTGAACGTGTTCTGGTGGAATGAGATTTTGTAGCGAAAATATATTCCCGTAGACTCTTTTACCCTCAATTACATCATTTTTTTTGGGAAAGGAAAGACAGAAAAGAGAAGTTACGCATTGAGAGAAGTGGAGAGCGAAGAATCATCCATCGGCGAATTCGGAAGATTTTTGCAGAAAAATCACCGTAGAGCAGAAGCGGAATCGGAAAGCGTGGAATTGGCCTCAATTCTAAGGGTAAGGGTGGGGTTCAATTCTATAACTGGGAGTATGATCGAATTCATGTGGGGATCGAGTCATAGGTATAGTCTTCGTTAATCGATAAATGTTAAGGAAAAGGTTTCCCTAATGGGACCAGATTTCTATGTAAGAATGAATGTGTTATGTGGTTATTAGTGCGATGCCCTAAGGTTTTCCTTTTGGGCAAATGCGTAGAATGAATATACTATATGGTTATTCGTACAACGCTCTAATGGTTTTTCCCTAATGGGCGTCAAGATGGCTGAGTTGGTCTAAGGCGTCAGCTTTAGGTACTGGTCCAAGAAGGGCAGTCACCTAGTTGTGACTGATTGGTAACTAATTATGTGGATAAATGCCGTAATGTTGTTATTACAATAATATGCGGAGTTCTTAATTGTTGATATTAAGGTTGTTGTTGTTCCTGTATATGAACATATAGAAATGGGAATTGTTGTTGTTCCTGTATACGAACAGGTAGAAATATATATGATATCATTGTTGTCCCTGTATGTGAATAAGTGGAATATGATGATCACATGAGTTGTATGATGTTGTGATGCTCTGTTATGGACGTTTTGGTTGTAAGCATAAAGCTTCATTGTATGGTTGTTCTGGTTGTGTTGTAGTCCATAATAGGTGCATTGCATGGCATATCATTTGGCCTGGATTGGCGACGGTTGGCCCTTAGTGGCAAATTTTTGGTTGTGCCTGTATTGGCGTTAATTGGCCTGGATTGGCGACGGTTGGCCCTTAGTGGCAAATTGGCCTGGATTGGCGACGGTTGGCCCTTAGTGGCAAATTGGCCTGGATTGGCGACGGTTGGCCCTTAGTGGCAAATTTTTGGTTGCGGAGTTTTGCTCCGAAATGGTACCACATGCATATGCATAGTTGAGTCGCATAAAGTCCCATAATTACGCTAGTTGTATGTTAATGTTGTTTATGTGAGATATGGATTACTCGCAGTTGTTGTCGATGATGTTTATGATTTCGAAACCTATAATGCTGTGATGAGTTCCGGCATGTTTTCTATCATGCTTTATGTTATATTATTGATATCTCACCCTTTTCCGTTGTATGTTACCTCCTCTGGTGGTAATTTGCAGGTAGTCAAGAATAGAGCGTAGTTCCCGTAAGGTGTCGTTGGTCGCTCTGATACGTAGCACTCTTGGGGGGGATGAACGATTGTTTATGTTGTTTATTTGATGTTCTTGTTGCTGAATTTTACTAAGTATTTTAGTTGAATTGGGTGTGTTTTTTGTTAATGCACCGAATGCTGGTTGTACGCACTAAGCCGAAGAATCGGTAGTGCTGAATTTTGATGGAAACTAGTTGTTTAATGAATATATGCAAGCTGAAGTACTTGCTGAATTTTAATGGGGTTTTGGTTGTAATTTCTGGTATCACACTGATTTTC